ATGACCTGAGCCGAAGGCAGTCGCTTAACCGACTGAGCCACCCAGGCGCCCCAAAAATAAAATCTTTAAAAAAGAAAAAAAATAGGGCGCCTGGGTGGCTCGGTCAGTTAAGTGTCTGCCTTCGGCTCAGGTCATGATCCCGGGGTCCCGGGATCGAGTCCCACATCGGGCTCCCTGCTCAGCAGGGAGGCTGCTTCTCCCTCTCCCTCTGCCATACCCCCTGTTTGTGCTCTCTTGCACTCTCTCTTTCAAATAAATAAATAAAAATTTTTTAAAAAGAAAAAAGAGAATGATAGATGACTGCAAAAAATATTCTGTTAAATTTCTGAAGCATCAACCTATTTGATTATATGCTTGACTTTTTTTTTTTTTTTACAAGAGGAAAAAAGAAACATAGTTCCATATTTATATATCCTCCCAACAGTCACCTGGAAAACAAACAGAAGCCTACATTGTTAGAACAAGCATTTAACATCGAAGTTTAAGATACAGAACAGAAAAATACCAAACTCCTAAGTGTAAATATCAAGTCATGACGTTTGAGCATTTTAAGATTTAGATAAACTTAATCTACTCAGTGTTTCACACTGCTTATGCTATGCTCTGGATTTTAAAAACTTCTTTACCTCAGAAGTTTTATGACAGAAGATACTCTGAGCTACAGGTATTTTTATATGTGACCCAAAACAGACCTAGAGCAAATGACAAAATCCATCGAGTCCTTGCCTTTGCCTTCTTCCACTCAATGGATTTGGAAATAATCCAAGCAGAGTGTTTGAGTCACAAGGATTCCCAGAACTAGCTGATTACCTAGTGGCATATATACTAAATCGAAAACTGTCCACATTGAGAAGTTCTGACATGGAGCAGAATCTAAGCCTTTGGGCATTTTTCCTTAGCAGAGCTGACAGAGTCCTCATCATCACCCCTCAAATGACTGACCATAGTAGAGATAAAGTCAACAGCCACACACATAAAAATGTATTTACAGAAACTTAATCACACTGGAATTTAAAAAAAAAAAATGGAATTAATCAGATCTTTTATTTAGGCTATAATCCAAAATAATTTCTGTGTACCACACCCTTTTTTGTGTTTTGTATAAACTCCCTTAAAAACAAAACAAAAGAACTCTTTCCTGCTTCTCAGACAGGAATCTCAAGAGCTGAGGTTCACTGAGGTCTGGACCACTGGTGAAATCCACAGTTGTTACAACAGCTTGTGCTTTGGAGCCAGCCCAGAGTGGTACAAAGGCTGAGTCTTCATTTGAGTAATCCCAGATTATCACCACAACCAGTCCCATACAAGATTTCAAGGAGTCGCAGAATAATCTGAGTAAAGATGTTTTACACAGCACCAAAATGTAGTCTCCGTTTCCTATTTTGGAAAACTCGGCACCGCAACTGCTAGAAGCATCTGACTGTTGGCTAGAATATTGTCCAGTTACTTACAGCTATGGTTTGAATGTTTGTTCCCCCCAAAATTTATTTGTTGAATTCCTAACCCTCAATGGTGATTGTACAGTAGGTGCGACCTTTGGGAAGTGTTTAAGACATGAGGTCGGAACCTCATGAATGGGGTTAGTGCCTTATAAAAGAAGCTCCAGAGAGATCCCTAGTCCCTTCTGCCACATAAGTACATAGCTAGAAGTCCACGACCAGAAGAGGTCCCTCACCCAACCATGTTCACACCCTGATGTCAGGCCTCCTGGCTCCAGGACTGTGAGCAATAACTTTCTGCTGTTGATAAGCTATCCAGTCTTCAGTATTTTGTTAGAGCAGCCCAAACGGACCTAGACACTTAGAAACACAAAAAACCAGCTCTATGTCAAGAAAACATTTTTCTTCCTTAGCACATCTATATGTCAAGTTACCATCAATAAACTTTCAGTCATCATTTTATACCCCTTAACTACTCAAAATGGTGTGAGAGGTTACTGTAAAGACTTTGAGATATATATAGATATATATTAATTATACACCAAACAGATAATCAATCCAATCAAATGATGCCAATTCAAGAGGAGCGAAGGATCCTGCAGTTCATATCAACTGCCAGGAAATCAGATGTAACAAATTAGTTTCTGAATAAACACAACTTTGAGAATCCCACAGGAGAACACATGCCAATTAGAGGTCCCTCCTGTAATTGTGGCATATAACTGGCCAGAGGCTCCAGTTGGAGCCCACCTCAGACAGGCTCCTCAGAAGCAACACGTGAGAGTCTGGTCTAAACTAGACCCAAACGGAAACCCTGAAGTCTTGGAGGGGCCGGGGCACCTCCCCACGAAGACACACCTGACAGGCGCATAGGCCAGGATGGTGTCCATCAAAATAAATACGAAAAGAAAAGGACAAATTTAATAAAATAACACCACCACAACAAAAAAAACACAATAGCCCGCCCCTCCAACTTCCCACTCAGGCTCTGGATGTTGCTGCCAATTCTCCGCTCCCTCCTCTACTGGCAGTGTGTGTCTTCTGGGATCCCAGGCTCTCTGGCTGGGGTCCGGGTTGCAGTTTGTTCTTCTGCTAAGTGTGGGACGTCCGGGATCCCTGGGCTGAGCAGCAGCAGAGGGCTTCCACTAGAGTGAGGGCTGGGCAGTCAGTGGCCCACCCTGTGGGGTGTGGGGCTGTGTTCGGCAGGGACCCCTGGGTCTGCACAGTTTACTTTAAACTCCATCATCATGAGGTGATTAAAAAAAAAATCTCTATACCTAATGTGGGGCTCGAACTCACAACCTGAGATCAAGAGTCACATGCTCCACAGACTGAGCCAGCTGGATGCCCCAAAAAGAGTTTTTAAAGGTATAAAAAAGAAGCAGACATTTGTCCTTGTGTTGGTTCCTAAATACAGTACAAACTTCTCCTATTGGGAAGGCGACTAAAACAAGCTATGAATTAAAAAAATAATAACTAGTTAAATTTGTACAAATAATGCATGCTCTTTGTAAAAAGATTAGAAAATATAAAAAGGCAAAAATGAAAATAAAAACAGAAAGAGTCACTAGCAATTCTACTTCCAAAGGATCACAAGGACTTTGGAATATATAGCTGTAGACATTTTTCCCTAGCAGTGTAAGATTCCTACCAATTTATGGTAAACCTATCAATTTGTGAGGTTTCTTCAGCTTACTCGTGTGCATAAAAAGACCTCTCTTTTTAAAAGTCTGTAGACTTGGGGTGCCTGGGTGGCTCAGTTGGTTAAGCATCCAACTCTTGATTTTGGCTCAGGTCATGATCTCAGGGTCATGAGATGGAGCCCCACATTGGGCTCCACACTAGGCGTGGAGTCTACTTAAGATTCTCTCTCTCACTCC